AATTAAGATTTCATTGTTATTTTCTCACCTTCATATTTTTCCACTCCATTTTCTTCTTTGAACACACAAAATGAGAATTTTGAGAACTTCTGTTTTCTTTACAACAATAGTGGAAGTTGATTTATGTATGATTTAAGACGTAGAGTATATCATACATCATTAAAACTAATATAAGTTTTATATGCAGCTTAGCAGTATAAATCAACATATGTAGAAAACAAAACCTTAGAGATGTACAGCATAGTGCATTGGAAAATACAGTGGGGTGGGTGAATTGTCTTTTTTATTTTTAACGTATATTTTCATTCTTTCAGTGTCAGGATTGGACCTGTTTTGTCATGTGTTTCAGTTCCTGTTTTGCCTTATTTGGTCATGTTCCTGTCCTCGTTTAGTTTCATTATGTTCCATTGATGTCACCTGTGTTCCCCAATCATCCCCTGTTTAAGAGTCAGTCTGTTCAGTTTGTGTTTGTCAGGCCTACTCGTTCTCTACGTGTGTTGACTCAAGCGTCTATTGTGGATTATTTCATATGTTAAATACAGTTCCCGTTTTCTCGTGCCTCCAGCGTGTTCCCTCAACAGCGTAACGTGACATTCAGACCGTAAGATAATGCAATGTAAATGCTGACAGTACCACCATAACTCACGTTTTCCTTTATCTAAGCAGTTATTTTCCACATCACTAAAGAGCTTATGCCTGGCTATGTATCACAATTTATTTGAAGCTACATTCAGACACGTGTAACCTCTATTACTTCAAGGACAATGAGCACCCGCGGGATAAGAGTGAGGTAAATGTCATGGCTAAAATGACAAAAATTTGATGAGTCGTTTCATAAGAAGCTTCTATTCCTGGTTAGTGGAAAATGTTCATTATATTAAGTTAATATATTGAAAAAAATTGTCAACTCATTGTTTTATTAGTACTTTCTGGACATTGGCATCAAACTGCGCTGTTAGCAGATTGGATTCTATAGTCGCTAAAATTGGAACATTTTGTTCAGTGTACAAATATTTGCTGTTTTCTGTGACAAATAAGTTGTAATGATGAGACATAATTTAACAGACTCTGAGGTGCAAATACTGTACATTTGTTGATGTGGCAAAACATGACCCTGGCAGATGTTCTCCCATGATATCAGTTTATGAAAATCTTTCATTTTTCACTTCAGTAAGCATCTGCTGGACAGATGGAGTGAAACTGGCTTGGCATTTAGTGTGTAACAACATGTTATAACAGTGATGTGTTTTCCTCTTACACAAATGGACAAAACTATTAGCATTTCTGTTATCTAATAAATGTGTTTTTTTTACGCTAAAAATATTAGTTATTATTATTGCAATTCATTACAACAACAAATATGAGTGAGTACAGATTCATTCAAAAGCAGTTATTTATTCAGGAAATTTTGTCAAAAAGTCGTTGAATCATTTACTCAACAGATTCGTTCAACAAAGCTGATTCATTCAGGAATGTAACACTGCTAGCTCTAGGTTTGTTTGCAACTATTTTTGTTTGTGAAGCAAACTGGCAAAATTGTGTCTAAAATGTATGGTAGGTTATATTTATTATATGAAATATATTGTTAATTCACTAACAATTGTGCTGTTTTATCTTGTGTCTACAGCCGAAAGTATACTTCCCTTGTCTATGTTCAGCTCTGGCTCGTGGCCTTTTGCACATGTATTGTAGAAATATCTTATGTAACATATAATGGTCAGTGTAGATGTAGAGCTCATAATAACCCCTTGCACACAGAATTACACAAAAACAATAGATGCAAATCTGGGAACTCATTAAAATGGAAGGTTTGATGCATGTAACCCCATAGACGCTTTGATGTCGCAGTCAACCTTCACCGAGGTGGCCCTCTCCTTCCTCAAAAAGATTATCGGTGGTGCAGAGCTGGAGTCAGACCTCTCTCCATCCAATTTACACAGCCATTGCTGAGGGCAAGGAAGACCACCATAATCAGCCGTGACCACTATTGTGTATGATCATAGCTGCATGGAGATGAGTGCTGCCATACTAGTGACCTCCTAGGGCATCAACACAGGGCATTGATTATCAGTCTGATACTGAGTATGATTCTTCAGCGTTGTGATGCATTATGGGTTTTGTTGCTGATGATTAGCATTGGAGAATAGCAGACAAATGACAAATGCAGATCCAAGCTCCTCTGCTTGCCTTACTGTATGCTATATGCCAGTGCTGAAGAGTGATTTCTTTAAGTGGATATCTATTTAATTATCTAATTTATCAGAGATGACAAATGAGAAACACCATGGCAGGTGTCGATTTAAAAGTAGGGCTTTTGCCAGGCAGTGCCTGACATGTTGTGATATGTTGATATGTTGTAAGTAAAATTTTAATTAATTCATTCATTTTTTATTTAATTTAGTTGAGATTTGCATCAAACAATAATGACGATCCATATAGAGCATAGAGTACCAAAACTGTTGTGGATCCGCTTGCCCGAATACCACCGTAACTTGCACAGATTTGCAGAAAATTACCATTGTTTGGCAAATAAATAATTTACAGGCAGTTATATTCCAACGTTTTATTATGTAAGACTTATGTTACACCTAAAATAACAAGGAACGTTATAGTAATGTTGATATTAACTATAGCCATTCTCTGAACTCATAATTCATAGCATAATGAACTGCACGCCCCTGCTATATGCTTTTCCTAGTGAAAACAATTGGATATCTTATACAAACTAATATTCAGTTAATTATAATTTAAACTAAAATTGTACAAAAACCATAACTAACCTTACTTAATTTCCAAAAAACATACTCTCTCTCTAAAAAGGTACAAACTGTCTCTGTCAGTATGCTAATGTGTACACTATATAAACTTCAGGTACTGTACTTATGTACTTTTAAAGTAGCCTACTGATATGAACCTTTAAGGAGCTAATATGTATAATTTAGGTGTAAATAAGGTACAGAGATGTACCTTTTAGCTTTTGTATCTCAGGATACCTCCCCAGTGACAGCTTTTTTCTTGGAGTGCAAAAATTATAAATTCATTTTTAATAATTCATTTTTATGCTAATTTAACATTTATCAATAGAAATTAAGGTTTGTTTAAAAAAAATAATACTAAAAAAAAAAGTTTCAGGCATGTGTTACTGTTACCCAATCTGGCATATTTTTAAAATAAATACATTTTAATAATACATATATTATTTATCTGAAGAAAGTAATGCGTGAAACATATTTTTACTCTACTGGGGGGAACATGATTTTCAGGCATTATTTGGTCAAGTGCCTGTTAATGTTGTGGTCCTTTGGTAAATATGTGTCATACAGAATCATTGTGCAACAAGTCACAATTTCAAAACAGCCGTTATGTAACTTAGCTAAGAGTCTGTATTTGTTATTGTTGATGTTATTGCATGGGTTCGGGTACAGGAACAAAAAAACACCCCTTTCCCCTTTTTGTAATCGCCCACACAAACACATAAAGTCCATTAGATCACTGCTCAGAGGAGATGCTAGAAAATGCTCTTGCAGTTCAGTCTAGTTCACCGCCTTTCTATTTTCTCCAGAGCGACAGAGGTATGTGCTGGAGTATTGAATCTGCCACTGTTCTCCTCTGCTTTTTGTGAGACTAATTAGCTTGTCTATTTCTTCCTAAATCATGATCGAGTACCCTACAGCTGAGCTGAATAAAAAAAAAAAGGACCCACATAAAAGTCTCATAGGACACAGTGTACCGAATTCAGTCAATTTCAGAAAGCAGTTTCAATGAAATATAATCATGAGCAGATCACTTCTGCTTTACAGTATATCTTTTATATCCGTTTCTTTTTGTTTTTATGAAACCTTCTTGATTCTGCTGGTGATTTCTGCCACTGTCAGTCTGATTTCGGTTCAGTCGCCTCTGAACGCCGACTCTTTTAATCACAAAAGAAGTGGTGAACTGGTAATATAGCAAACAGCATAATGGACCCAAACAACTTTCAAAATACCAATTTAAACATGTTGCCCAGAGGGGATGTACTAGCATTAAAGGGGTCATATGATGCTTTTTTAAAGATCATTATTTTGTGTATTTGGTGTAACAGAATATGTTGACATGCTTTAATGTTCAAAAAACACATTATTTTTCAAATACTGTACATTATTGTAAGTCCTCTATGCCCCGCCTCTCTCAAACGCTTCGTTTTCTACAAAGTCCAATGCAAATGTTGCAAATATTTGCCGCATTATGCAAATATTCCTACATAGTGAGGTAGATATGTGGGGGCGTGTTAGAACGAGCCATTTTAGGAGGGGGTGGCAGAGTCTTAACTTTGATAAAGAATATCTCTTTGGTTTTGAGACTTTAGTCTTTGCAACTTCAGGGATCTTATCTATTCACGAACAGCTTATAACACTCCAAAGAGAAAGGAAAACTTGAAATCGCATCATATGACCCCTTTAAGGAAAAAGAAATGTAGCTTTGCATAAAATATCTCTGGGTGTTGTAGTGGGTTTGCTTTTAGAGAGAACTGTAGCCCCTCAGAGAGCTAGCCAGTGAGAAGAGTTCAAGCCACAGAGTAAATGTTTTACATCCCAAACCTGATTGGTCAGATTGGAAAGCTTTCGGCAAGCAACTCAGACAGTCTATAAAAGGACAGCAAATGAAAACAGAGCACAGCAACATATTTCAAACCTGTGGATTATTGTTGTGTTTTCATGGGAAGATAATAGCTTGTCCATGACAACACTGTTGTTCGACAGTAAGTTATTGCTTTAGTAGTTTTCTTGAAAACATGCATTGGCTGTACTAGTTTCTGCACTAAAAACAGAGTGGAAATATCATAATAATATATCAGTTCAGTTATGGAAGCAAATGATTTATATCAATATTGCCCTATAATTAATAACACAGAATAAGTGGGCCTGACAATGGCAATGAAGCCTAACAAGTTATGAATTATATATAAATTATTAGGGATCGAGATTCAAAGTTAATTAATTTAGTTAATTTTGTATTTCCAGACCGTCCACCTGCTCCTGTTAATGTGTCAGTCATGCACCTGAGAGCTGATTCAGCAACTGTGTCCTGGGAGGTGCCTGAGGGTGACATTATCATCGGCTTTTCCATCTCCCAACAGGTAAATCACTTTTCTAGGAAAGAGAAACACATTTCAAAATTTGCAACAAAATATAAACTGTCAATTCTAATATTTCTAAGTATATTGGCACAGACAGCCTGTGTTCTTTTTGTAAACAAGTAAGAGACATTTTGGATTATATCCAAGCAATTTTGGTCTGACCTTAGCTCTCATTTATTTGGTTCTCCCAATTTTACAAAGTTTTTTAGCCTTAAATACTTTTTTTTCCTTAAACATATTTAACAATCTTTACAAGACAGAATATCCAATAATAGTATTTTCAGGGTCTGATAAAATAAAGAAAATAACTAATTATTTTTCTTTTTCAAAACTTTTCTTTTACTGTGTCATAAAATGTTTACAAAGTGAAAACAATAACCTGTCTTTTTAAAAATTTAAATGCCATGTGAATGTTTTTTGTAAATTGAATCATACCAGATTTTAGAATGACTGGAACACTGTACTGACCAATCAGAAGCCAGGACCAGAACTTTTCTAAACCTTTATAAAAGTTTTCCTTAAACTTTCATACATCCATGCCTTTATACTTAAATATACCTTTTATTTAAAAATCGTGTGTGCAGTAAATGTGAATTTGGTCATATTTAGATGTAGATTTGAATTCTGTCACATCCTTACTGTAAAAGAATAACATTGTTGTTTACTTAAATTCAGAAGCTATTTATTATCTAAGTCACTGACACATTCGAACAATTACAAATATATCTGTCAATCATATTATGCAATAGGTTGTGTGCATGTCTGTAATGGCTGTGCAGGCGACGCTCACAGATTAATGTATTATTCATTTAGCCAAGGACTTCTATCAGACTCCCTCACACCTAGAGGCTGCTTCAGAGCCCAAGGGCAGAGGAAAGTGCTTTGGATCTATTTGCAGACTTTAAAGACCAACCAAGGCAGAGCTAAATGCAACATTAAGTTAGAGGGCAGAATTATAGCTGAAATGAAAGGCTGTCGTGTTTGGCTGTCAGGGCTTCGAGAAGATCCTTTAGCGCCCTAACGTGTGACTTATACTTTTTAGGTGACCTCATAGAAAGCGCTTACTGTTACTGTAATGCTGACCTCTAGACAGCGTGAGCCATTTGAAATGTCAGTAAATACCAGCCTAAAGCTGCAGGTGATGTTTCATAGTTTGTAAATTCTACAGGAACCTTGAAAATTTTTTTCAGTTTGGAAGAACATTTAAATATATGCAGTTTAGACTCGGGGTGAACTAGGACTAAAAAAACACCCCAGGATCAATGTGAGCCCATCACAACCCACAGTATATAATTATTCAATATAAATGCACTCTTAATTATTTGTTTCAGGTGTTTCAATCAGATTTATTGCCACAGGTGAATAAAATTTGCAAGCATTTGTGAAAAAAATAGGTCATTCTGTAAATCACACCACTACTGAACTCTGGAGCAGTGGAAACCTGTTGTGGAGCAATGACTCACGCTTTTCTGCCTGGATAGTCTGGGTTTGGCAGGTTCTAGGAGAACATTACCTGTTTGACTGCATTGTTCCAACTATAAAGTTTGATGGAGGATGGATAATGGCATGGGGCTGTTTTTTATGGGTTGGGCTTGGCCCCTTACTTCTAGTAAGCTTCAGTATACCAAGACATTTTATGCTTCCAACTTAGTGGAGACAGTTTGGGGAAGGCCATTTTCTATTGCAGCATGACTGTGCCTCATGCAGTGCACAAAGGATGGTCCATGAAGACACTGGTTGGATGAGTTTGTTGTGTAAGAACTTGATTGGCTCACACAGAGCCCTGACCTCAACCCCATCAAACACCTTGTGGATGAACTGCAATGGAGATAGAGGCCTTTTTGTCCAACATCAGTGCCTGTCCTCACAAATGCTCTACTGTATGAATTGCCAAAGTTCCCACAGAAACATTCCAAAATCATGTGGACATTCTTTCTAAAAGAGTGGAAGCTATAGCTGCGAAGGGGTGACCAACTCTACATTAATGTTTATGTTAGGGCTGCACAATTATGACAAGAATCATGATTGTCGATTATTCCCATGAAATTGAAATTTACATTGAATGATGTTTTAAACAGCTTTATACCATTGTTTGAAGCAACTGCATGCCATATTTTTATATGAAAATAAACAAGCTGAAAACACTCTTCTTGAAAAAACTTTTATTGCTTTTCTATAACATTAAGCCTCAAATGCAGACTACATTATACATTGGTTTAGTTTCTTCGGTAACACTTTAGTATAGAAACCAATTCTCACTATTAACTAGTTGCTTATTAGCATGCCTGTTATTAACATATTGGCTCTTTATTAGCACTTATAACGCACATATTGTGCATGAACATATTTTGCATCCCTAATCCTTCCCAATACCTAACCTTAATAACTATTAATAAGCAGAAAATTAGGAGTTTACCGAGGCAAAATCTGTAGTTAATGGTTTGTTAATAGCGAGAATTGGACCTTAAAATAAAGTGTGACCATTTCTTCTTGTAAATCAAAAAAAGTAAAAAATATGGTTGGTATTATAATGCTATACTAAAACGTCTCAGGTTACTTATGTAACCATGGTTCCCTGAGTAGGGAACGAGACACTGCGTCCTCTAGGGGTCGCTATGGGGAACGCCTGGTCGTGACCCGTATCTGAAGCATACATTGAAAAAACACCAACTCGTTGCCATGACGTCACTACCGGTGCGACTACAGTATAAATAGACGCCGGGAGCACACATCATTCATTTCTTCGTCTGAAGCTTGCGTCCGCAGCATGGCAAGAAACCTAGAGGACGCAGTGTCTCGTTCCCTATTCAGGGAACCATGGTTACATAAGTAACCTGAGACGTTCCCTTTCATGGGAACTTTGAACTGCGTCCTCTAGGGGTCGCTATGGGGAACGGTATACCCATGCCACCATGCTGAGGGGAGTGCATGCCAGAACCATGGCGAGCACTAAGTACCAACTCTACCATATTGCTATGGGAGTTGCCCCTGGGACGTAGACGGCTGCCAGTAACGTTATTCCCTACGGCCCAAGGCCTAGGCTACATACCCCAAAATACTTACCTGTTAGGGCCAGACTCCTGGGCCCGGGGTAGAGCTCAATGCTTGGAATCAGGAATAGATTCCTTTAAGGGAATACGACCAAGAGCCTAGAATCATACTAGTCTTGGCCTGTCACACAGGGGCTACCGCACGTTTCTCTTTGTATGTGCTGAAGGAACTGTCTCAACAGACCCCTAGTAGCAACACCCTGTTAAAGTAGGTATCCAGAGGATACATAGGAGGAGTGGTGCCCAAGGCGGAACCGGGGTTTTAAACCACTCAGAAAGAGCACGAAGCTGTTGCGCGTAGCTCTTACCGTACAGGATTTTAGAAAAATGGGCAAAGCATAACGTGCAAACTTACCACTTGTGTGGATTTTAGAAAGTGGGCAAAGCATAACATGCACACTTACCAGCTATGTGGATTTCACCGTTCTAGGGGTTCTTGTGGCACCCTGAAAGAGCAGCCCATAGATAGAAATAGCGCATCCCCAAAACGTATATCTACGGCTATAATGTTCCAATGCTGGAACGGCTAGCAGTAGTTTACCTTGGCTGAGGGAGCACAAACCCAGCTCTCAACGAGAGAGGGCTCGACCTGCATGATTGTAAAATCAGAAGGGTAAGCATGCTGCAAGCTAGCCAAACACTCAGCGCATCAGGGAGGCAGAGGAAGGGCCTAATTCACCTGATGCTGCTGGTTCGAGGTGCTTTGGAGAAACAGAAAACTCAAACTTCTCATGTGAGAGGAGAACTCCGAATTCAGAGGAATAACGTTGCCAGCTATGTGGATTTTAGAAAGTGCGCAAAGCATAACGTGCACACTTACCACTTATGTGGATTTGTAGAAAAGTGTGCAAAGCTTAACATGTGCACTTACCATAGTATTTGGATTTTAGAATTTTCCAAGCATCTGTTTACAGATGGCAGTACTGGGCCAAACGGGAGAGGCAAGCTCAAATACAACCCTCAAAGGCGAGGGGAGCACTGCCCGAGACAGCATTACCCAGGAAGGTTCTCATAATGCCACATATACCTCCCGCTCGATGCCTCAGCAAGAGGGGATATCCTGGTGATCGGGAAGCCCCTCAGGGCGACCCAGATACGGTAGACCAGTCAGGGTAGTGTCGCGGGGTGAATGAGAACACAGACTCGGTACAGATAGAAAGAGCCCCGGAGGGTGATTTATTGCCCACACACTGATCACACGTGCTCGGAGGAATGGTGCTCGGTGCCCGTCTCAATGTGGTGCTCGTGGGGTGAAGTGCCGTGGTGCAGATCCCTCTCCTGGGGTGCCGTCGGAGTCTGTGAATAAGGAGAAACAAGCATTAATGTCGCCTGGAGCTCCGGGGTGCGTCCCCGCTGGTGTCTCTTCTCCTGACTTTTATGGCCAGCAGGAACGAGCTCCAGGTGCGCCACTCATCACGCACAGGTGTTGTGCTTCTGTGATCAGTGTGGCAGCGGCGTTTCCAGGGCGACACTGATCTGGACCCGGGATACTCGCCACATCCCCCCCCTTAGGCGTCGCCCTGGTCCTGTGGGGAAACATTACGTATTACGGGGGGGGGATTTGCCAGACCTGCCCAACCGGACCAGCCCCGGGAGAGACCGTCCACATTCCCGTGATCGGCCCCGGCCCGATGTTGTACCTGGAAGCAGAAGTCCTGGAGTGTGAGGAACCACCGCGTCACCCGGGCGTTCGTGTCCTTCGCCCTGGACATCCACTGTAGTGGCGCATGGTCGGTGACAAGGGTGAACCAGCGTCCCCAGAGGTTGTATTTCAACTCCAGGACTGCCCACTTTATGGCCAGGGCCTCTTTCTCCAGCATTGCGTACCTGGTCTCCGTGGGGGAGAGTTTCCTGCTGATGTAGACTACGGGGTGTTCCTCTCCATCCCGGAGCTGGGAGAGGACTGCCCCTAAACCGGTGCCGGAGGCGTCCGTATATAGGGTGAAGGGGCAGCCGAAGTCTGGGGCATGCAGGACCGGGGAGGACGTCAGAGCCGTCTTGAGGGCCTGGAAGGCGGCTTCGGTCTCGGGAGTCCAGTCTATCCTCTCCGGCTGCCCCTTCCTGGTAAGGTCTGACAGGGAGCAGGCTATAGAGGAGAAGTTAGGTATGAAACACCGGTAGTAGCGGGACGTGGGAACTTCTTTACCGCCTTGACCTTCTTTTCCTGGGGCATGATGAGCCCCCTTCCAATCTTGTACCCCAGGTATTTTGCTTCGGTGAGGCCGAGGTGGCACTTCTTGGGGTTGGCAGTCAGGCCAGCCCGCCGAAGCTCTGTCAACACCCTCCGTAGACACTCCAGGTGAGTCTCCCAGCCCTCAGAGTGTATAACGACATCATCCAGGTAAGCTGCGCCGTAGGCTTGGTGGGGCCGGAGCAAGATGTCCATCAACCGCTGGAACTTGGCCAAGAGCTCATCCACCCGCGGGATGGGATAGCCGTCAAAGGCGGAGACTTGATTGACCTTCCTGAAGTCGTTACAGAACCGGAGGGTGTTGTCCGGCTTTGGAACTATGGGGCTGGTCCAAGGGCTACGGGAGGGCTCGATGATTCCCAGTTGGAGCATCTTCTTGACTTCCTCCTCTATAGCCGGCCGGCGAGCTTCTGGTATCCGGTAGGGCCGCTGCCAGACTACGACTCCTGGTGGTGTGCGGACCTCGTGCTCGATGACCGTGGTTCAACCCGGGGTCTCACTGAACACATCCTGGAACTGACTGACCAGGGCCTGGAGTTCCGCTTTCTGGGTCGCCGACAGCTGCGGTTCCACGTCCACTACTGGAGGCCCGGTATGGGCCAGCGCGGCGAGTTGCTCGGGCCGGGGAACTCACTTCTTGAGCAAGTTGACGTGGTAGATTTTCTCCGTCTGTCGGCGGCCAGGTTGCCGCACCCGATACGTCACCGGTCCCATCCGTTCCACTACTGTGTAGGGCCCCTGCCAGGTCGCTAGGAATTTACACGCAGCTGTCGTGTACCAGTACCACCACCCGATCGCCCGGCTGGAACTCCCGGGCCTGGGCGGGCCGGTCGTACAGGCTTCTTACCATCTGGACATATCGATGAGTAAAATAAACACTGCAAGTCGAGCACCTGGTTTATGAACCCAGCAGAGGGGGTGCCCATCGAGGACCTACCCTAGAAAGGCACAGAAACACACAGGTCCCGGGAAACACTGCAAAGAAACTAGCAGAAGGGTTATACAGACAACCACCAGCTCATTAGATACACACATATATATATATATATATATATTAGACATGGATCGTACTCACCCACCATGGTTCCCGCATCGGAGCTCTGTCCGAAGAAGCCTCAAGACCGGACCATCAGTAAGATGGTCCAGCATAGGAGACTAATATGCAGGAAATTTCTAACCTCGGTCAGGTGGAGAGATGGTGGTTACAGGGGAATTAGGAAGGTGAAGATAAGGGCAGATGTAAGACCCCCGAAGGAAATGAGTAGATACTGAGGTATCACTCTGATCCAGACAAAAGCGCTGACGCCCTGTCTGGATCACATCCTTTAGGGCTTTTACTTACCTTCCTTTGACCCGCAATTCTTCCTACCCCTACCCGCGGGCGGGGCAGGAGCGCGAGCCGCGACACTAGCCTTCTGAGCCAGTCTCTGATTCTCAAACCGAAACGGGCTAGGACCCCTGGGTTGTTCAGCCTCAGACCTGGACTTCGTGAAGGTTAGGGTTAGGGTTAAAATGCAGAGTTTTTTTTTTTTTGTAGTATTGTTTTGAATTTATCTCACCAGTGTGTAAGACTTATCTCACCAGTGTGTGGCTTGTGTGTGATGTCTGATGCCAAAGTTTGGTTTTTCAGCAAGAGTGAATGGTTTTGAGTGTAGAGCTTAATTTTGACCTGAAAATAGGATGTTTGGGGAATTGGGTGAGACGTTATGGATTTGTGTTTACTGTTTTGAGAATACGAGGCATAGTTTCAAGAAATGTGTTTAAGCAATCGAGAAAAACTGTAAAAAAAGCAAAGGCAGTTCATGACCCCTTTAAGATAACCTATAGAAAAAACACACACATGCACACATATCTTAAGCACGCAGAATAATGAAAGTGGAGTTTTATTTATTTATTTTTGGAATTGCGCCTTTGAATGATTTGGCACGTGATTGTGGCATCCCTAATTGTAATCACGATTAGAAATTCAATTAATTGAGCAGCCCTATTGTATGTTTTCAGAATACGATGTCATTAAAGTCCCTGTTAGTGTAATGATCTGATGTCCCAGTAGTTTTATCCATATGGTGTGAGGACAAAGGTAGGTCTCTTATAGCATCTTGGATACACTGCCACAGCTCTTCTGGATTTAGTCTGTCTGTTTGTTCTGTTTCTTCATGTCATTCCAGACAGACTGCATGATGATGAGATCAGATCTCTGTGTGGAGCACTTGCTGTTGTCAGACTCCTTGTGCAAATAAAAATCTCACTAGATTATTAAAATTAATGGAAAAATTAATGTTTGGAAATGTAAACTGATATTTCCTACTGACACACTACAGCAAAAGACAGAAATAACTGACTTAAAACCATTTTTAGCTGGTGAAAATACTACCACTATATATACTTCTGTTCTATACCAATGGTGGTTTAACTCTTTCAGAGAATGGACGGCAAAATGCAGAGGTTTATCAGGGAGGTGAACACCACCAGCAGGTCCTGTGTGCTGTGGGACCTGGAGGAGGAGACAGATTACATTATCCAAGTGCAGTCCATCGGCCTTTACGGAGAGAGCCAGGCCAGTAAACGTGTCCACTTCAGAACCCTGAAGAAAACAGACCGCTTCCCCTCAAACAGTTCAAACCAAGGTAACAGCCAACTCCTACTCTTATACAACAATATAATTCTTCCTGCTTTTGATGCAGTCCATCATAGCTTGACATTTTGTGTGTTAAATATGTGAAACGTCAAACAGCGCACTGACTGTTTACATTCTCAGAGGATTCCGCCATTGTGTTCAACAGTTTCTTTTCCTACAACCCAATTAATTATTGATGAACACTTCACGCATGGATGCAGGTAGACCTTGTTGCTGCCTCTCATTTTCAGCTCCAATTTCTAATCAGCTCCTTGCCTCTCAGGGGGATATGCTGTATATTGGCGCTGTGCGGCACAAGCAGGTGGTCCCTAATGGCAGGCCAATTGAGTGGATTATTAACAGCTATTTCGATGTTGTGTTGATACGAGATGTTTTTGAGAGATTTTATCTTCTGCATGAAATCTAGCACAGCACTGAAAACCAGATAAATCAAGTTGCTTTTAACATGAGAGTCGCTATTTTTGCCAGCCATGTTGAGAACAACAAAACATCCAGTCTTATGCACACCGACGCAGATGGAGCGCTTGAAATTAATCATCGGAGCATTCAAGAATGCACGTAATTCAGAAACACGCTCAATATGTCATTAATGCTCTCCTGCCATGAAATGAAATAACATATTCAACACATTAAGAATGTATCATCAAATTTGATTTGAAGACATCACGTTTGCTGATACAGGAAATGTAATTAAGGTAGAGATTCAGTTTAAATAAACTACATTTAGAATCATTTCTAAACCTCCTTTATGATTGAATAGGTGAAAAAAAATTCTTCCATAGCTTCTATTATAGAAGTGTGAATTTAGCTTTATCTAGGCTTTCAGCTGTGTGAGGCCACAGTCTAAATTCATCCAAGTGAAGAGAAAAGCCTGGGCAGAACTTACACACACAATGAGGCATAAAAAGTATGCTCTCAACTCATTCTAAGCTAATTTTTACATCAAAAAGAAGAGGTTTTACTCTCCAACGCTAATAGATTTCTTATCTTTTTACTTTTATAGTGGCTAAAATTCAAGGACTTTTAAAAGCATCTCTCATTCTCTTTATTTTTCAGTCCTTGGTCATTATAGTTTTCTGCATGTAATTTTTTTTAAATGAAATTAATTGTTACCATCCATGCTTGTCTGTTCAACTCTACTATTCTGTGACATTTTCCCCCTTTTAAAAATAATGTATTTTAAAATAATTGCTTGATCTTTCTGATTTTATTTGGTTATTCAGTTTACAGTGTTCAGTATTAAGGGTCATATTTTAAGAATTGGTTGTAGAAAAATCCATACTAACCACTAATCTGAATATGAATTCTTAAAAGTTCAACATCTACTATATAAATAAATACATTCGTTTTCTGACAGAAACATCAACAGTTTCTCAAAATAAAGGTTAAAGTGTCTCCCAGAGAAAGAATATAACAATGCATCATTCAAATTGTAGACATTTGCATGATTGTGACCCAGTGATTTACTGCATGTTCAGAGGAGTTCCAATTAGTGTAGTCTCTCTCAATGCATCAGTGCATCTTTCTCTGTTCCTATAATAATGAGTCTCATCATGATGCAAAAACAGTTAAATTCCAATCATCCCTCCTCTATCCTACAGTGCATAGATTTGAAATTAGAAGCAATAGACTTAGCAGGGAGTATTTGCCATCTGCTTACAAACAGGAAACACGATCCAATGCAGAGTTCTGTTTTTCAACTCTCAAAGTCAGCTTGTCATAATAGCCCGAGGAATCTGACCAGCATCCAAACCAATCCAAAAAGGAAAGAAGTCGTCTTCATAAAGATAATAGAGAGAGAGATAGGAAATGTGTGCCAAGTCATTGAGTAATGTGTCTTGTTTTGTGACTCTAGACTTCACTCGCATCTCAGAGGTATTTTTGGCCAGTGCTTCTCATGTGCTGTCAGACTGAGCAGAAGATGATTCCCAATGGACTCAATTACTGTGATACTTCAAAGAAGCTGAGTCAATATCAAAGACCAGACCCTGCAGGTCTAACAAACAAAGCTGTGCATCCTGATGAGGAAAGACCTATCACATTTATGACTAGAAAGACAATAAACAACTTGCAGCAAGCACAATGCTGTTTCTGTGACGATCCATACAGATCCGCTTTGCCTGCACTTAAAGGGATAGTTCACCCCAAAAATTTAATTCTGTCATCATCTATGCAAAAGAAGATGCTTTGAAAAACGTCTCTGTACATTGTGTTCATACAGTGGAAGTCAGTTGAGTCCAAAACATTATCTTTCACAGTATGGGAAAAAATATCTTCTTTTGTAATCCACAGAAGAAATAAAGTGATATTGACAAGTCTGCCCAAAAATGAAAATTCTGTCATTAACTACTCACCCTCGTGTTGTTTCAAAACTGTAAGACCTTCGTTCATATTCAGAATACAAATTAGGATATTTTTGATGAAATACAAGAGCTTTCTGACCCTGCATAGACAGCAACACAAATGAAATATTCTAGGCCCAGAAAGGTAGTAATGACATTGTTAAAATAGTCCATGTGACATCAGTGGTTCTACCTTAATTTTATAAAGCTACGAGAATACTTTTTGTGTGCAAAGAAAACAAAAGTAACAACTTTATTCAACAATTTCTTCTCCTAGGTGACAGTCTCCGCTGTGCATTCACGCATGTCGAAAACTGACATGGAATAGAAGAAATTGTTGAATAAAGTTATTTTTGTTTTTATTTTTGAACGAAGGTCTTAACGTTTGGAATAACATGAGGGTGAGTAATTAATGACTGAATTTCATTTTTGGGTGAACTACTGTATCCCTTTAAGTTGTTCCAAATCTGTATGAGTTTCTTTCTTCTGTTGAGCACAAAATAATATATTTTGAAGGATGTTGGTAACAAACAGTTGACGGCAGCTGTCGACTTCCATAGTTTGAAAAAAAATGCTGTGGAAGTCAATGGCTACCATCAACTGTTACTAAAATTCTTCAAAATATCTTCTTAAAACACAAAATATATAACGTTCAACAGAAGAACGAAACTCATACAGGAGCAACTTGAGGGTGAGTAAAAGATCACAGAACTTTCATTTTTGGGTGAACAATCCCTTTAAATAGAAGGTTCCAAAAGGAACAACAGAAGAACCATTTCTGTCCACCAAATAACCTTTCATTGAACAGTTCTTATAACAACCATTTTTATCTTAGTAAAGAACCATTTGAAGACTCCTTTTCCACTATAAAGTACATTGTGTGCTAAGGAAAGTTCCATGGATGTTAAAGGTTCTTCATGGAACCATCAATGTCAATAAAGGACCCTTTTTTTAGGAGTGTAGGTTTGGAACAACATGAGTCAGTAAATGATGGCAAAATTTGTGCAGCTGCTGTGATTCTCTTCATGCTCTTCATAAGAATGTCACAGTACATGTGCAACAGTGTCTTTGAACTGATTTCAGGCTTGTGGAACTAATGATCAGATCCTTACACCAAAGAAGACGCGAGAAAGCATTGTGTTGTCTGGCATATAGCAGCTCTTTTTTTAAAGGGCTCTAAAGAGCTTCCCTGTTGGGCTTTTGGAACCTAACCAGTAAATAAACAGCACTGCATCCCACATGAGGCTCTTATATCTGTTGAGAGATGTGGCAAGGGTAATTTGAACCTGCTTGTGGAGCACAGGCAGCATTCATTTTTCACACATGAGTGAAAAACCTCCACACTTATCGTTATAAATATTCATGGGGCTGATGAGAGGAACGTTTGGCCTGTCTTCTATCCTGAGTGTTCAGCGGTGGAGAATGTGAACGGGAGCGAGGGTTCATCTCAATACTGTGAGAGTGCTATTGGAAATCACGACAATACATGTGATATCCAGTAATTGGCTGGGTGTAATATCCCCCCCCCCCCCCCCCCCCCCCCCC